GCATTCTGAAATATTTTCTCAACTGCATCTAATATTCTAAAGTATTTTGTGATGCATCTAGCATCTTGAAGAATTTTTTGCACATCTTAAAGTATTTTTTTAATCTTGGTGTTAAGTGCATCAAAAAATATTTTAAGGTGTTGGACGCATTTAAAAAAAATACTTTTTGGTGTTAAATACATCAAAAAATATTTCACGATGTTGGATGCACCTAAAAAAATATTTGAGGGTATTGGATGTATTATAAAATACTTCAGGGTGCTGGATGCACATAAGAAAATACTTTGGAGTGCTGGATCCACCTAGTATATACCTATTATTATTATATAATAATATTTGTGTTTATATTTATTAATTAAGATTATGAAAAATATTGTATTTTTTTTAATCTTTTGTCTGCATTTTTTTTCGTTTTTATGTAATTAATCATATACTGAATGTGAAGAAAAATAAAAGAAATATATGGAAAATTGGTGTGGTTTGACTATCTTATCCAAGGCTTAATGGAAATGTACCTTTTCCACTCAATTTACCGACAATGCATGTGTCGTAATCAAGCAAAGTAAACCAATTATCAGTTTTTAAATTTAAATTTTGTGAATGTTCTTTATTATTAGTCCGCGTTAGTGTGATTTTTTTGAGTGACCCTATTAGTGTGATTTTAAATGTAAGAACTAATAAATAAAATTATTCTGATTGTAAATATAGGAACTTTTTGTTTGTCTTCTATGTTTATAATTTTTCTTGTAAATTATCTATATAGATGATTGCACAAGATTTCAAAAGAAAGGTATTTTAACTTTTAAGAAAACTAACGTGCATGTTTTACACGATAATAAAATGTAATCAAGTGTGAAGTAGTTACGTAGACCTTATATTTAGAAGAAAAACAATACTACCTTTGATCCTTAATATAAGACATTGTTTGACTTTTATTTTGGTCTTAAATATAAGACCCCAATTCATTTTGTCTCTCATATTTATGCATTTTTTCCCAAGATAGTCTTTCTAACAATAATAGTTCTAGTTAATACACTTGATTATTAATGATATTTTAGGAAAGATAATATCTATTTATTACAAATAACTAACTTAACTTCTTTCCTTAATCTCCTCAAATTAGTCAACTAGCTCTTATAAATAGGACCGTAGATAGTTTTATATATTAAAATAGTGGATTTTTTTTTGCCAAAAGAAATAATGGATTATTTTTACACATTGCAAAAGTTTTTTCTTTGACCTTATGCATTGAGCTCCATAAAAAGTTATCAACAGAGGAGTAACAGTTAACAAAACAATTATCATGAAAAATTTTATAGCTTCACACTCTGTTTCGTAAATATTCAAGTGTGATTTGATAATCATGGGGAAAAAAAAAGAAGCTTAATAAGAGATCAGAGAATACACACATACTTTTAAGGTATTTGATCTCAGTAAATTTTGGACAATGCTCTCTTTATTCTTAAATATAAGATTTTAATACATTTTATCTCTTAAAATCATAATTTTTTCTAAAATGTTTGCATTGATTACACATATTAAGAATTTTCTATCAAAAGAGTAGTCCCCAATGCAAATAATTAAAATGGATACTTTCAAAAAACTAATATACTTTCATTGCAAATAAATAAATAACTTAATTAATTTTTTACCTTTATAAATTAATTACATAATTTTTATATTTATTATTTAAGATCAGAGTGAGTCGTACCCCTCCAATTCCTTTTATAAGTTTCAAATAATTAAGTTACGTAAATAAAAAAACAGTTAAAACGGATTAAAAACAATAAATATATAAAAAAAGTAATTTTTTTTCTTTAAATCCTTGTTTATAGAGAGGACGCATTAGAAAAAAAAGATATGGAAGACAATAAGTGGAAAAGGAGAAGAAGAGAAAAACACATAACCAATTAGAGATAAAAATGAAAAAAAAAACACGTTAAATATTTAGTATATGCTCGTTAAAACCAATATTGATTGCCACAACTGACCGGGCAAATGGCATCATCATAGAGTTTCCTTGAAAAGCAAATGTGGCATATGCCTTTTTGGTAAATTAAAAAAAAGTAACTGCATTATTAAGGAGCGATTTTGTTTGGGCCGTATATTAAAGAGCAAATTAAAGCACGGCAAAAGGGAGAACGTGAACAAGAGAGTGTAGTCAAAAAGTTGCATTAATGAAGCAACAGAGAGGAGAGACGATGTTGCCTTGTGGAGAAAAACACTTGCACATGTCCCATAACAACCTCCACATGCCTCAGGTTGTACCTTTGCTTTGTCTTTTTTCAAGACTTGTTTAGATTGATTTATAAGTAATTTTTCAAACGTGATTTATGGAATGCGAGGTAAGTATGCAAAAAGAATTTTATTTCGGTTTATATGAATTTGCTTAAAAGTCTGTTTTACACGAAGCTCCAAACAAGCCAAACACCATCAACGTGAAAAAACCTTTATTAGGTGACTCCATTCCTATTTATAAATTAGTTGTATCATAAGCCAACAAATTCAAAAGTGTATTAAATTGATAATATTTTTTTCATATCTACCCTTAATAAAAAATATTAAAAAATGTTTATATTTTCTCTCACTTATTTACGTTATTTCTCTCTGTATTTATTAAATTAATAGGGGTAAAATTGTAAAGAAAACTCAGTTATTATCCTAAAAGCGACCTATATTTAAGAACAATTTTTTTTTCCTAACAAGTTATCTATAAATGAGAGTAGAGTGGTACCATGTGTTAAGAACAAGTTGGCTCAATGCCACCCACCACATTGAAATGATGTCTTGGCTCTTAAGCTGAAGTTTAGTGTTGGCATGTTTAAATTTTCCAATTATAAATTTAAGTCTCTTAAAATAATATTTCGTTAGGATATCATGTCAGTATATATATTTTTCAATATAAATATTCTTAACTTGAAATTATAAATTGTAGACTTTTCACCCCAGCACAAGCCCCATCCGAAGTGAGCCTTATCTTGGCCCACTATAATCAAATAGAGAGTATTTTGTTGGCCCAAAATAAGGCTAGAAACCAGAAGGGTGGGGCCCAAGAAGGCTTAGTCGAACTCGTAACCTCATGTTTAAAAAATCTTAAAGAAGTGTGTTTGGTGTCAATTGAGTTACAGGATCCTAATAAAAAATTAAGTTAATTTGATACTGAACTTCCCAAATTTCCCATCAATTTCTGCCTTTTAAAATTTGTAAAGGGCCTGATTTCATTTCAGAATGTACCATTTGTGAGCAAATTTGCAGGAAAATCAACTTTGTGACGATTGAGGAATTTGAAGATCATTCAAAGTTTTCAAGTCGATTTCATATTAAAAAAACTCAGAAAATATGGGCTTTCCCTTGTTATTCACCCAAAAAAAAAAAATTATGCAAGTATTTTTGCTTATTTGTGAAAAAATATTATCTTCTTTAAGAATCATTTAATTTAACGTTTTATGTACTATCCTGGCAAGGTTTGGATATTAAGTAACTTTTCCTTTCATGAGAAAGCCGACAAGCAGCACATGAACGCAAGCCAAAAACCATGTGAAATGTTGACGAAAGCAGTCATTTCAGCCATTTATCACACACAGCAAAAACAGAAAGAAAACCATCTTTATATTCAGAAAAATAGGTGGCAAGTTACTTTCATATGAGTATTATATATTATTTATAAATTCTGGTTATTACTTCTGGACTTTATTCTCGAACATGAACCTTAGCTTTCTTAATGAGTGCAATTATTTTTTTTATCATACTCCCTCCGTTCCTTATTATAAGAGACGAATAACCGAATTACGTTGATCAAAAAAGCAGTTAAAATTAGTTAAGAACAATCAATGTATAAAAAGTATAATTTCTTTTCCAAAAATACCCTTATTAATAAGGAGAGAGAACATGAGAGAGAACAATAGTAAATTATTAAAAGAAAGAGAAGTGGGAAGGGGAGAGAGAGTGAGTTGGAGACAATAAATATGGGTAAAATAGGAAATCAACACAAAAAAGTAGAGACAACTTTTAAATGTCTCTTATATATAGGAACATGCCATAAGCATCAAATGTCTCTTATAATAAGGAACGGAGGGAGTATCACTGTATTTTAATGGTACCAAATTAAACAAAATTAAGTGGCTGAAAATATATGACTTCCAATCATTTTTAAATAATGACTCCCTGGGAACAGAGTCTGATACACCATCTTCCTAAATAAGCAAATATAAGTAATCAAAATTAAGACTAAAATTATGATAAGTTATGGCAAAAACAACTTATTATCCTGATAGGACTATGGTCTTAATAAACACTCATTCAAATTGCTGATCTCTTTAGCAAATTTCCTTTTTGATATGGTCCATGTTAGCAGTGTTCCCTTATTATTAACCTTTATAGCAAAGTTAGTCCCTAAAATTTGGCTGGTGACATGGAATTAATAAAATGAGTTAGCATATCTAAAAAAACTAATTAAGGCTAAGAAACCATGAACGAGTACGACGATTCAGGGGAAAAAATCGATAATTGTAAATTTTTCTTGCATGTGTTAGTACAAATAATATTTTACTCTCTCTCACTCATTAAATTAATCTAACAAACTAAATATATAAATAAACAAGAGGAAAAATTATGGATAATATAAATTCCCTGTTGAAAAATTAATTAGCAAATGATTCATAGGATGGTAGATTGCATAAGGAGAGATAAGTAGTATAGAAGGAAAGTGAAGTTGCATAAAAGAAAAATGATTTGTGCAAAAAATTATTTGGACATAAGAGACTAATTTGTACATTTGGATTATGAATCGTACATAAAGAAAGTTTAGTTGCACAAAAAAAAGATATTACATAAAGGAATTAGATGGATTGCATATAAAAGAAGTCAAATTGCACATAAGGGAAGTTAAACTGTACAAATTTCTTAGTGAACATTTGCCTATTAATTACGAGGAATTTATTTATATTTTTGATAAATAAAAACCAAGCATAATTAATCCATAAACAAATAAATTTTACTAATAGTACAAATTAGATGCTCTGAAGTCATCCAGAGTTATCTTTTCATTATTTTCATAAACTCCAAAATAACACCGCATTTGGTATACTGGATTACATAACTCACAAGACATATTACAATAATGAAATTATAATTCTTCAAAGAATGAAATTCAAAACAAAAGGCTAAATTGAAATAAAAGCATAATCAACGCGATTTCACATCACGTCTCTTCAATTCAATAATATTCACTTAATTAGTGAGCAGCTTTTTTTCCTTTGGGTTCAAACACATACTTAACCAATGACTCCTTCACGGGCAAAACCTCAGGAAACTCCATTTTGAACTTGGAAACATCAATTTCAGTGCTGCTTTGAGATGGGAAATGAGCCTTGGCTTGTTCTTCTGGTGTGAAATTTACCCACTTGAAGTCAGGGTCAATATAGTCTTTGTACATCTCCAGGATCTCATTGAGAGTCACCATTCCAGGATTTGTGAAGTTCCACAAACCCTTGAGGTTTCTCTTGGCCATCTCTATGGAGATTGGAAGAAGTTCATCCAACACAGTGATGTTCTTTGCAATGTTTGCCACTTTCCCAGAATTCGCAATCTTAGTGATGAAGTTGTTTGGATTCTCCAGATCAGATGATACTGGTAGTCGCAGTTTCAGAGTGCACACATTCTCATAGTCCTTCAACAGCTCTTCAACCTAGTACCATGTTTACAAATGTCAGAGATTATGATTCAAAGATTCATAGATGAAGCAAACTCTAAGATTTAGAAAGATACGTACCATGGATTCAGTTTTGGAATAGAAAGTCTTAGGATTCGTTTTGTCTTCAAAGTTACTGGCAATAACATAATTGCTCAACATGAGGCCATGTTCCTTGCACACATCTGCCAATGTCAACACACCAACAACGTTGTTACGAGTTGTCTCTGGTTTATGAGCTTCAAGCCATTTCGCATTTATGGCACCAACAACACCAGAAGCATTAAAAACATGAGTTGGCTTAATTCTTTGAATATCCGTAGTAACTTGTGATCTCTCTTCCAAATTCCCTCTTCCAAACTCAAAGTCTATCCCTTGCTTCTCACATATCTTCCCCACAAGACCACCAATCCATCCTGATCCACCATATATCAGAAACTTGAGATCTGACGTCTTTTTATCAGATGACAGCGATGATGAATTGTTCACTGAAGAAGCATTATTATTATTATTATCGAACTTGTTCTCAACAACACCAGGCATTGTGAGCATTCTCGGATGGGGAAGCAATGCTCCAGAAACATCACCCCACCAATTAGGGTTCTTAACGTACCATTCCATAGTTCTTTGAAGCCCTTCTTCCCAACTTGTACGTTCGAACCATCCCAAACTCTTCAGCTTCTGATCGGCTAGGTAATACCTCTGATCATTGAACGGCCTGTTCTCCACAAACCTGATGTGTGTTTCTGGGTCCAAAGAGAAAAGCCTGCAGATATCTCTAGCAACATCAAGCACTCTCCTCTCCTTCTTCGTCCCAATGTTGTACACATGTCCTACTTCACCTCTGTGCAGAACAACCTCAAACGCCTCAGCAACATCTTCACAGAAGAGATAGCTTCTAACGTTTGATCCATCACCATGAATCGGAAGAATCTCTCCTTTCATGGCCAAAAGCATGAACTTTGGAATCAACTTCTCAGGAAACTGGTTGGGCCCATACACGTTGTTCCCTCTTGTGGTTATAATGGGAAGACCATAAGATCTGCCATATGCCATAACAAGCATTTCTGCAGCAGCTTTTGTTGCAGAATAAGGGTTAGTAGGAAGAAGCTGAGAAGCTTCATGGTTTCCCACCACTGCATTTTCATCTGTCTCACCGTAAACTTCATCTGTACTGACATGGATGAATCTTTTGATCTGCGGACTGGCTTGTTTACAGGCTTCGAGAAGAACGTGGGTTCCATAGATGTTGTTCTTGGTGAACTCGAAGCTGTTGCCGAAGGAGTTATCGACATGGGTTTGAGCTGCGAAGTGCATGATCGTGTCGATTGATTCAGAGAGGAGGATGAAGTTGACTAGGTCGGCACTGCTAATGTCGCCTTTAATGAACTTGAAGTTTGGAGAAGAACGACAAGGAAGCAGGTTCTTGAGGTTGGAGCAGTAATCGAGCTTGTCGAGGACTACGATGTTGTAGTCTGGGTGGTTTCGAATAAGGCGGTTACAAACATGGGACGCAATGAAGCCTGCTGCTCCAGTGATGAGAATGTTCTTTGGCTTGTAGCTTGTAGCCATGTCTACACAAATTCTAGTCAACACAAAGAAAATTTTGTGATGACAATATAATTGATGAGTATCTATAGCACTGAAACTGGTTTCAGGATTATATATGAGTACAGGCAATTAAAGCGGAAGAGAAGCTATAAATTGGGCTTCACGGTAATATAATTTGTTGAATGCGAGGGGTACAGAAGAAAAATTACATCCAAGGAATTCAATATTCTTGTAAATTTTATAACAAAAAGTGTTGATGATACATATAGGTAAATTAGTTTGAAAAAAATGGTAAATATGAAAAATAATGTGGATTGAGCTATTATATTTAGGATCAAATTTAAGACACAAGGTAGTGTTTTATATAATGTGGGGGGTTATAACTTCTTAATGTTCCGATCATTTTTGAAAGATTTCTGTAATTCATGAGAGCCTACATTGTAATTTAGAGACTATCACTGAATCAACCTACATCGCACTGATCGAAACAGAGAACTAAAAATATGAAATCAGGGAATAAACAAAGACTAGAAACTCTAAAACAATAAATGGAAACCTTAAAAAATAGAAAGAAATTAAAAGAGAGAAATAGAAACTTACTTGGAGGTGCTTTGTAGTTGCATGAAAAAGAATCAAAACTGAAAGCAAATGATGTGGAAGAGAGAGAGAGAGAGGGAACCAATATGAGAGAGAAACTGTAAGGAATGGTTTGAGTACCATGGACAACCGCTATTTATAAACAAGTATCACATCACCAAATCATTTTCGTTATTATTATTTTTGCTTATTTAATGTCTTCACATTTAATTTTTTGTTTTGTCGAATTAATAAATATATATACATAAATTATTGGAAAGTTAAGGAGGAAACGAATGTACAAGGGTCCCAATGTACATGAAGCAGGAGGAAGGGTTATAAATGAGAGATGGAGAGATGAAGTTCCACAATAGGCCTTGGTCACTCTTCAAACCTACCCCGTGGTTCTCATTCAGTGCTTATTATAGCTTATTATAATAAAGAGCACTATGTACTTATCGTTGTAGTAAAATTTGGGCAATTCAAACTCTGATCTAAGTAATGTAGATCTTAAATTTTTAATAATAAATTTATTGTTTTAAAAAAGTAATTATGAGATTGTCTTTATTTTAAATTTTATATTGATTAAAATAAATATATTATTTAAAACATCAAAAAAATTGAAATAGAATCTGAATCAACTAAAATTAATTTGAATAGACGAAACTAAAATGAGCACTTCATTCTGATTTTTTTTTATTAATGATCACGAAATATGCTCAGCTTACTTAATAAGTATGCTTGATACGTGTTTATTCTCTCACCCTTCGGTCTATATGTCCTTTTCTTTTCATCTCATCATTTATTATTCATTGAAATGTTTCCTTCCACGAATTCTGTTTTCAGCTCTTTGATCATAACATTGTTAATTACAATGTTTTCATTTACCCATCCTTTTTTACAACCATGATCTCATATCTGATATTCCTTGCTGCGTTGATCGATTCATGCATGTTTGAACTTTGTTATATGTATAAAAAATAGTTTTCTTAGGATGGTTTTGCTTCATTTGAATCCTCAACTTTGTTTAAAGGATATATTGAAGAGTTCTTTTATCCATTCCAATTACCACTGTTGTTCCCCATCTGCACATTCTATATATCTAAGGTATAATACAGCTAATTGGATTAGTTTAAATACGATTTATGTGATTAATTAGCAGCCCACATATTAACATTTTAATGCCAATTAAAATAGTCAAAATACTATTCTAAGTATAGGTGATCAACCTCATACACTTCCTTCTCTCCTCATTAGACAATATCTACTAATTAATTGAGAGTAATCTCATTCTAAATATAGGACCCTTTTAATAACTAATTCGAAGGGTGAAAAAAGGTAGTCAATATTGTTATTTGTACTTATTATGTAGAAAATTGGTTATTATGTAGAAAATTGGTGATAGCTTTCCAAACAATAGTCTTTCTAATTAATTATTATATATATTAGAATTTAATGTGCAGGATAAAAAAATGATATCCAATAAATAGGGGTATTATGGAAAATAAACAATCAATAATACAAGAGATAGGAAAGAATTGGATCCTATATTTAAGACTAAATCAAGACTTTTGAACGGATCTTATATTTAAGCTTAGAGGGAATAGTTAAGAATATAAAGAAAGGGTTGCGAATGAGAGAGGAAGCACATGGTTCAAATATTAATTAGGGAAAATAACTCCAATATAATAGGTCCCACACAATACCCTAAAATACCATAAAGGGCATGCATCTGTGCAATAATTGAATAATTTTAAGGGATTTTATGGTATTTTATGATGTTGCGGGAGGATTTTTGGAATAATTTTTCCCATTAATTAATTATGAGATTATTGTGAAATGCAATTTCAATTTCCACCACAGGCCTTGCCCTTGAAACCAACCACCTCTGCTACGTATGTCTCTCATGCACCCTTCTTTCTATATCTTTCTTTTCACATTCTCACATTCATAACATTAATATTATTGATTGTGATGATGTTTTCATTCATTTACACATTGTCTTTTCTTTTTGTAAATTTTACACATTCTCTTTTACAATCATTTGCGTCTGCTATATATCTATTATGATCTGATTGATTCATATTTGAGCATTGTTATATAAAGATGTAATGTTCTCAGCATGATTTTTCTTGTGTTTAAATGATACTGTGTTCTTATCCAACTCAATAACTACTAAAGATTCCATTTACTCCATTGAATCAAATCAGTAAACTCACCGTGACAAACCATTTTACTATACTAGATATGACTAATTTAAAATATTAAGAAAATTAGTTAAATTAGTTCTTTGTAATCCATGAGTGTTAGTTTTTCTAAAGTATTCTTAGTAATCATCTACATTGGAACTATCTTTAAATTGAATCTGTTAACACGCGCAATTAATAGGAATACCTTGAAGAAAAATTATAAATTAGGAAGACTCTTAGTAAATTAAAATCTTATATTTAGAATAAATCCTCATCTAACTCTTATATTAAGAATTAAAGGTAGTATTTAATATTGAAGTGATTGCCATTTCTTGTTCAACATTAATGTGATGTTAGAAACATTAAATTTTATATGTAAATGTACGAGAATGTGGAAAAAAGAAAAAATGAGCCCGGAGGCGTGACATATTCGTGTAGTCCTTTTTGGGTCTGTGGAGCTATCGCCTATCATTTATTCATTTACATATGACAGTGTAACTTTCATTTTTAAAACTTATAATTATCATTTGATTCATTTGATTTTAAGATTGAATATTGCCTTAAACTCAAAGCATTGACAATCTCAATAATAATACTCCCTCCGTTCCTTATTATAAGAGACGAATAACCGAATTATGTTGATAAAAAACGTAGTTAAAATTAGTTAAAAGCAATCAATGTGTAAAAAGTATAATTTTTTCCCCAAAAATACACTCATTAATAAAGAGAGAGAACAATTAAATTATTAAAAGAAAGAGAAGTGGGAGGGAGAGAGAGTGTGAATTGGAGACAAAATAAATATGGGTAAAATAGGAAATCAACATAAAAATGTACAGACAACTTTTAAGTGTCTCTTATATATAGGAACATGCCATAAGTATCAAATGTCTCTTATAATAAGTAACAGAGGGAGACTGTTCACTTCTTTCACACAAAAAGGATCCCGAAAGAACGCATAGATGAAATTTGATATTACATCAAGAACTTAAAACCTTAAAACATTAGTTGTATGAGGTTTTTCACTTATGAACTTAAAACCAGAAAATCTTAATTCGCTCTTCTTCCTTCGTTCAGGCGGGTCTCAGGAGGAAGGAGGGGCTTTGATAGCCTTACATAACTTTAAAACACGAATCCTGTTAGTATCCTTTGTTGATCCAAAATCTCACTATAAATTTCTATTGTCTCTTGGATTTTTTTCCCCAGTCAGTTCTCCTCCTTGTTGCTTATCTGATCATCTGGATTTAGCAGTAGAGCACAGGTCCATTTTGGTTTCAGTTCTCAAGGCCATGTTTCTGACCATTCCTTTATGAAGTTTAGCTACCGCTATTATTGTTCTCAACCACACGATAGCCTTCTACTTTACATTTTAACCCCTCTTACACTAGACAATAACTGCTGTTGCTGGCAAAAGGAAGTAAAAAAGGGGTTTTTTTTTTAGAAAATTACACTCAGGTCTCACACAAGACAATTAATTCACAACAAGTCCCTCAAAATCCCAAAATAATTCTCAAGTCCCCAGGGACCTGTGTGTAATAAATTATAATTGTGTAATTACCTATTTACCCCATTCATTTACAACTTTAACAGTGGCTGTTGACAACCTGAGGAGAAGTGGTTAACAACCTCAGCAGTGCTCCTGGTATCCCACAGAGTGAGTTGTTAGGAGCACTACCGAGGTTGTTAACCACTTCTCCTCGGGTTGTCAACAGTCAGTATTGAGGTTGTAAATAAATTACTGCAATAAAATTAATGGGGATAAATAGGTAATTTCATAATTTCAATTTATTACACACAAGTCCCTGGGGACTTAGGAATCATTTTGGAATTTTCAGAGACTTTTTATGAATTAATTGTTTTGTGTGGGACCTATATGTAATTTTCCCTTTTTTTTTACCAAAATACTATAAATAGTAAAAATTATATACTCAAATGCCGTATGTAACATCCTGATTCCTTTTGGGGTTAGAGTGAAATTTGGGTCTTTAAGAAGAATAGGTGCGTAATTAGTAGGTCCAAATGACTAGGAGGGCCAGGGAATGACAGGAAATTAAAGTACTCTTTTTTTTTTCTTCAAATATAAAAATATATAAAAATTAATTTAGTAGATAACGGGAATCACAAAAGACTATATAATCAAGAAAAGATAATGCAAAATATACACACACCCAAATATCTAGAAATAAATTAAGAGATATTGAAGTATAAAATATGTATGTATATAACATTTAGAAAAGTCCATATAAAATTTTTGAGATATCCTGACTCTTTTGTTATCATAAAATTCATCTACAAGTTTTTTTTTTAAAATAAAATAAAAATAATAAAAAGATAAGGTAAGATGCGTTAGTTTGAATTTTAAAAATTTATCTTAGTAAGTTATATATATATATATATGTTAGTTTGAATTTTAAAAAGTTATATTAGTGACCTAAACCTAGGCTTCCAACCTCTGCTTTCATTTAGTATTTTTCTTCTGGAGCTGCCGTCAGGTACCTGAGTCTTCCCTCTTCACTTTCTTTTTTTTTTTTCTTCCTCTACAGTGATGGTCCCTTCCTCTGCCTCTTCTCTCTCTTTCTCTGTATTTTTCTCCTCTTCCTCCTCCTTTGTACGTAACTTGCTCTCCTCATTATAACTAGCTTTGACGCAGTGAGAGACTATATATATATTTATTGTGAAGAGGTATTATGTTAAATCTATTTATATGTAGACGCTGTTGTGGGACGTGAATCAGAAGGATTAACCTTCCTTACACTTTTATGTGCTTTCCTCTCTGTTATGTTCTTTTATACCTAAAGAGCAAAATCCATCTATCACAAATATGACAGTATTTTAATCCTAGTTTCAAAAGGAGAAATATATATATATATATATATATATCTTCCTTGCCAAGTGCCCAAAATTTTCCGTCAAATTTGTATGGTGTGTGTGTATACTCTATTCATTTATCATAAAAACAGTACCGTACCTTCATAATGAGACACATATATATAGATATATACATTCGGCTAGCAAAAACAATTGTTTCGTTTATATATATATATATATTAATTTTTGCTTTAGAAAATTTATATATTTTTCCTACGTAACTCCACCATTCAAGTAATGGATATAAATTATCATGAAGGAGATTTCTTTTAGTTATCGAAAACAGTGATACCAAGTTAAGTCTAAATGTTTTCATTTTTATTTATAAGATGACAAACTTTTCACAACATCTGTTTAGAAAGAAAATGAGAAGTATTGAATTCCAAATATGAGAATTTGACAATATTTACTTAGGTTCCTTAGAGTATCCTCAAGTCTTAGAGTAGCTTTAGAGTGGTTTTGAGTGGTATAGTAATAAATATTGTGTTGTGATTTTGTAGACTGCGATTAAGGATCTTAGAGTGACTTTTGCTAGAGCACCAGGTAACTCTCTTCTTATTTGCTTCACTTATCAAGACTATCAGTGAGCTTTATGAAAATCTGAGAATGAAAACTTAGTTATTGGCTAATATATTGGACTTTTGCTTTTATGAAACTGCTCGGTGGAACGGTTATTTCTTCAAGATACTGGATGAAAGAAACTAAGTTATTTAGCCTTGATTATCTTAACTGTTTGTTCTATGATTTATTTGAGATCCATCATGCTGAGAAGCAGTTGTTAAGACTAACTGAATGGTAATTAAGATGGATTGATTAATCGTTATTAAAGGAGGAGGTCGTGAGGGAGACATGATATTTGTGACCACGTGGCACGGCCACCACATGGCGCTCAGTGGTTGGCCACTTCCTATGCCGGGGCAGCATCCCCCAAGCTTGCGACACTCTAGTGGTTCATACCCAGGCAGCATCCCTGAGGGCAGCATCCCCTACTAGAGGAACCTATGGCCTTGTGTGCTCTGTCGACTTTGGCCAGTCCGCATCACACCAGTGGGTAGCAATTAGCCCATGGGTTCACGTCGGCGGGAATAAGGAGGAGATAAGGTTGGAACTAGTAATAAAATAGAATGCAAACTTCCATGTGTGGTATACTTTATTGTCTTGCTATACTTTTAATTGTTATAGTTATAGCTCTATTGTTGTCATAAACACCTTTATGATATGCTTGAACTGTTGATTTAATCACCTGGTTATCTGCTTAAATTACGAGTTCCATTGGGCATCTCACGGGTAGTGTTGCTGGGTAAGGTAGATAGGAATTGAGTTACTGAGACGTTTTGTCTCATCCCATTACTTTTATCACTTTTCAGGTGAGGGGAGCAGAGGAGATGCAGCAGGGAAAACATCGGAGGCGTGAGGCTACTTTGTGGAGTAGCCAGGCTTCCATAATTGTCATGCTTGATTTACTGTTAATTGCCACCTAGGACAATTAGACTAGCTTCCATTCATTTAGTTAATTTGGGAAATATTGCATTTATTATGATCTTATTGCTGCGGAATTGGACTGCACTTGATTATTAGGTTCAGAACCGTTGGATTTGCTTCTTTTTATTTTGTTTATTTGTGGATCCACAAGAAGGTGAACAAGTTCATTTAAATAAGTGGAATTTCTCTTTAAGGTAGTGGCTTGAGGCCTTTTTTTTAGGAATAGTGATTAGGGATAATTATGCCTATCAGATGATTATGATTCTTTTTACAATCATGTTGGTTTGCTGCTTTTATTATTGCCATATCAATTTCTGTGATGATATGTGGGACTAAGTTGAGTGTCTCAAAGGTAGGATGTTTCACCGTACTTTTAAAAGTATTTACCAATATACTGTACTTAAAATCGTTCTTGGCAAGAACGATTTTCAAATTATACACAAGTTGTTCTTGGCAAGAATGATTTATATTTTAACTGATAGAAAATAAAATCGTTCTTGGCGTGAATGATTTCACTTTTTTCTTATTTACTCCCCATGCGAGAATCTATGCCAATTTTGTGTGCAAGAATCTCTGACACTATGCACGCGAGAATCTCATTCCCTTCCAGTGAGGCTATAGCATCATATATGGTTTTATATATTACATGTTTTCTTACTTGATCTCCTGCTCTCTCTTCTTCTTCTTCTCCTCTTACTTCATCTCTAAAATCTGAGCTTTCTCTTGCTCTGTTATTTTTTCACTCTCGCTTCTAAGCACTTGACAAGCTCTTTTTACTGTTGTTGTTGTTGTAGGTATGTTGTTTCTCTTCTATTTTTCCTTTTAAAAAATTTGCAGCTATGATATAGAATTTGATTTTTCATCCATACTACCCTTGATGAGTTAATATTTCATTATTCTAATTTTCAGGAGGTCAGTGGTGGGTTCAACAAGTTGGAATATTTGTACTTTTTCTAAATTAGGTGCCTCTTATTTTAACGGTAAAACTATCATCAGGTATATTGTTTTAAAATGTTAAAATTTTGATAGAAGCTCCCATTTTTTTTAAGTATATGATTATTATTTTTTCTTATGAAAGTATACTTCTTCAGAAGTTTAAATTTGGTAAGATAAAACTGAAAAATAATTATATATACACCCTAAATATCAAATGTACAGTATATATTAAGGTGGTAAATTAAAAAAAAAAAGGTGTTCTACCCACTTCTAATGAACTATTGCTTTCATATATTTTTTAGGTAAAAATAAGATGTAAGTAATGAAAAATTGAAATGAATGAAGGGCACTCATAATCCCTTTTTTTATTTTGCCTTTTCCATGCTCTTTGCTACGTTGCATTTTGAATTAAGAGTAAAATACTCTGACTATCCTTCTAGTTTGCATCAATTACATAGATCTTCCCTCTATTTTAAAAACATACAATTTAGTCTAATTAGTTAACATTGTTAGTAGGAGTATTTTAAAAAGATTCTAAAAAATATTATTTTTAACTGAAATTTATATTAAAATAAAATTTATTTACTATTTTACTTCTAATTCTAATAAATTCCCAAATTATGTTTTTATAGTTACATTAATTTCATTCAGTTAAGGCAAATATAAAAGATTGGATTAAAACTTTAACTAATTTTTTAATAAATATATATTTAACTAAATATGTTTATAAATCTTTGTAATAAAGAAGTGTTTAAAAGTTTTGAATTATAAATTTAAATAGTTTATAAAATATTTTAAACTTATATCATTTAAATTGTATGATAAATAAAAACTATGAATTTTTTTTGGTCAAAAATAAAAACTATGAATATGAAATATGTTTTTACAATTTAAAAGAAATCAAAGTAAATATTTTTTAATGAATGTGATAAACTAGAGAAAAAATCTTTATTTTTGAACCCTTCATTTCTGATTTTGGCCTAAAAGATTTTAGCCCAATTAAATTTTTAGTTTCATGCAACGTTTTTTTAAATTTAAAAGAAACTAACGTAACATTTTACTTGCACTTAGAGAATACCGTTTTAATATGAACCTTTGGCCTACTCCACCAATAATTGAGTTGCATCGGCCACAAATTCCTTATGATAGACCAAGCAAGTGACGCGGCGGTTACTTGTTTACCCAACTTATAATTGAAAACGAAAATGTAAGGGAATAGGAACCTTTAATTTTTACTCAGGCTTGCAACATATCTCCGTCACCATCATCTCCTTTCAGCTCTGTTCATCCTACACAACTTGAGTCTCATTACATGACACCCTCATCATCATCTCCTTCCAACCCAGCTAATCCTTCTCAATTTCAATCGTTCATGACTTTATTAGATAATCCTGCACTATTTTTAGCAGAATACAATGCGTCTACTTTTGAACATGACGAACCATTAAATGAAGCATTTGTGTGTTGGTGTGTTCAAATCAAACCAAGGTGATTCTTACCAAATTTCAAATTCAATCAACATACGAAAATGGTTACTTCTAGCTTCTCTTCCTGGCAATTCAATTCAATTTTGGCGGGCGAGACTAGTCTATGGTCATATTCAAGACTTCTCAAAGGAAAATTTTTCTAGTATTTTGTATAATCTATGGTCAAATTGACTGATAAAACACTCATGACAATTGATTGTGAAATAACCAAAAAGTATTCCTCTTGGTCCTTTTTACTTGGCCTATATACTATATTTCAATTCAATTATAAATCAAACAGTGACTAAGTCTAAGAACGCTTTTTTTTTCCCGTCTGATGAAATAATTTGGGTATGGCGGACCCAGCCCACTGGGAGAGGGTGTCTGCTGGCCCCTCCCTCCTTCCCTATCATTTTCTCTTCCCAATTTTTTTTTTTGTTTCTTTTGATTAGTAGATTCCACATTCAATGAGTAAAATTTTGATATCTGGGCGAAAAAATGGAGTTTTTTTCAATTTTTTATGATTTTTCAAAGGATTTAAAAAAAAAAAACTCTAAGCAGCACAGATTTTTATGTAAATTTTTGAAAAATCATAAAAAAATTGAAAACAGCTCCATTTTTCACCCATCACCCATAAAATATCAAAATGTCACTCATTGAATCTAGAATCTAATAATGAAAAGAAACAAGAAAAAAAAAATCTCGGAAGGAAGGGAAAATGAGGGGGAAGTAAGGAGGGCAGCATGCACCCCTCTCCCCAACCCCCACCAAACCACAGATTGTGATATTGATTGGACATATGGGGCTTCCTAACCTTAAGGTGCTGATTGGAACTAACTTTAATACTTGAAGAACTGTATCCAAACTAAGAAACCATGAAGGTAGTATTAATAAATGGTAAGCTAACATAAAATAGCAAAGTAACATAATAATATCCATGTCTCATCAATCTAAAGTGACACATAATAATAACATAAATATATAGCCCACACATACACTAAAGCTGAATACTAAGATGTAATGACATCAACTGAATAAACTGACAGACAGATATCACTATCTCAATCAGACACGTGGCTTCATCCGTCCCTCGTTAGCCATTCTGAAAAGTTGAGCTTGTGCTGCGGCAGCCTTGTTTGAGCTAAGTGAAGCTGCAAATCTGTCCCTTACTTGTTTGGTTGTGTAAGGGAACTTGTTGTTCACCAAGGAGTTAAGGAAAGAAGCTGTGCCTTCTCTGTAAAGAGCTCCAAACCCATCATTTCTTGTGTTGGAAAGTGATTCTGGCAAACTCAGACTGGTTCCCAACCCTGGAACGTTAGTAACTCCGAACGCACTTCCTAAGGTTCCCCACCATCCTAGCAATCCCCATATGATTCCTGGGTGGTTCCTCCAGTAGCTGTAAATTGGCGAAAATCAGGCATTTTCAGTAACATTACTTGTTTTTTGACAGTCTACTTGCATGCATTCTTATATATGGTGGAGTGAAACATGACTTACTTGCAGGTGCCAGTGAAGGGAGAAGGCGAGGGAAGATAAGGTGGTGTGCCTGGATCAATTGGGGTGGTTGGTGGGCTCACACTGATCGGAGTTGGAGGGCTGTTTCCTCCGTAAGATGGTGTTGTTGGTGGTGAGTTATAGTAACCACCGCCTCCTGACGGTGTTGGGGGGCTATTACCGTCGTAGGATGGTGTTGGGGGGCTATTGCCATCGTTGGATGGTGTTGGGGGGCTATTACCGTCGTAAGTTGGGGATGGTGGTGGTGAGTTATAGTAACCACCGCCTCCTGATGGTGTCGGGGGGCTATTACCGTCGCAAGATGGCGATGGGGGACTACTACCGTCGGAAGATGGTGTTGGGGGGCTATTGCCGTCGTTGGATGGTGTTGGGGGGCTATTGCCGTCGTAAGTTGGGGATGGTGGTGGTGAGTTATAGTAACCACCGCCTCCTGATGGTGTTGGGGGGCTATTACCATCGTAGGGTGGTGTTGAGGGGCTATTGCCGTCGTAGGATGGTGTTGGGGGGCTATTACCATCGTAGGATGGCGTTGGGGGGCTATTGCCGTCGTAAGTTGGGGATGGTGGTGGTGAGTTATAGTAACCCCCGCCTCCTGATGGTGTTGGGGGGCTATTACCGTCGCAAGATGGCGATGGGGGACTACTACCGTCGGAAGATGGTGTTGGGGGGCTATTGCCGTCATAAGATGGCGTTGGGGGACTATTGCCGTCATAAGATGGTGTTGGTGGTGGTGAGTTATAGTAACCACCGCCTCCTGATGGTGGGTTTGATGGTGTGGTTGGGGTTGACGGGGTTGACGGAGTTGACGGTGTTGACGGCGTTGTTGGGGTCGTCGGAGAAGGTTCATATGGGGGTGATCCACCGTCACAGTTCCCGCTGGAGGGTGGCGAAGGGCTTGGGTTACAACTTCCACCTCCGCCGTGTGATGGGGTTCCATGATGAGAAGGTGACGAGCCTCCATGATGGCCACCTCCAGAACCATGACATGGTGACCTCCTGTGTGAGCCTGTATTATCCATCAAGATTATAACTTCGTGATGAGCATATTGTAAATGCATGAGACTCTAAACTAATAAAAAGGCGATACAGAGAGACATTGCGTGCGTGTGTGTGTGTGTGTATCAGAGATGCTTCAGTTAGAGCATTACACAGAGAACTAGAGAGACTTGCGGGAGGACTTCCTGAATGAGGGTGTGGAAAGTAGTGGTTTTTCTGGCCTTCAATGGTGGTGGATATCACAGGGATTATAAGGTTCTGAGAAATCAAGCAAGTGAGAAGTGTGTACACTAAAAGAGAAGCATGGCTACTTCTCTTCTTCTCCATCTCTCTCTGATCTGCTGCAAGTCGCTTAGAGAGATTAGAACAACCTTGTAGAACAAGCGAGAGAAAGATGAATGGAGTTTGAGGATTTTGAAGTGGTTTAGAGGGAATATAAAATGGTTTCAGAGAGTGTAGTAAATATTAGCAGGTGAAGGAGTGTGTGGTTAGTTGATGTGTTGCAGGCTGCATTTACTCTCACCATTTATTTCTCCTTTCTCTCCAATAATGCTTCAATTTTGCGTTTACCTTTAATGCAGTGAACTTGCATTACCCTAGCTCTAGTTTCACGGCATGGAGAATTTTCACCTCCTCACTTTCTTTACCATTAGATTTTGACAAGTTAAAGCAGGAAGCTCAAAACTAACCGTGTCTGGTTTTCCAAAAGATCGAACCTATCAATATAATTGACCCTATTAAATATCTGTCTTAATAAAGCAGGTCTTGTTTCCTGTTGATCATAAGCTTAATTTTTGTGTGCAAATTAATCTTCTTCTATTCCACAGAAGCTCAGGAGTTCAAAATTTCTGTTGGTCTTGCGAGTATCTGACACATCAGTGAAATCTGCAACATCATCGATCCTACACTAAAGGAGGCTGATGGATGCGATGTGGATTGCCTAAACAAAGATTTGTCAATATTCATAATATGGTATATATTCTGAATACAGCTAAAGTTGATCTACAGATAGTAAATAAAGTGTAATTATGAGATATAGACTCTTCATATTCTTGTTTTACTCTTCCTCCAAAAATATAAATACACATGAATGAAGATATATATATATATATATATATAATTTGTGTTGTTTTCTTTGCATGATAACCTGGGCGTGACTAAAACACCCAGAAAATCAAACTCCTTTGGTTTCTTTCTTCCCTCTGTGAATGAATGTTATTACTGCAAGAGAAATCTATTACTACAAGTCTCAACAGAGAAGAAGCTGTGAGAAAGGAAATCTTCGTTGCTTGTCCTCCATGAACTGCCCATTTCTCACAGATAGGCTCTGACTATAATAATAGCTGACCACAGAGTTGTTAATAATGTTATATATCTACCATAATATTTTGTGTGGCCCAGATAATCAATCCAGACCTTGTTCCCCAGCTTGGACATAAATATCTAGAGAAGTCTATCATCCTCATCATAACGTTATTTAGATATCGGGAAAAACAAGGTCATGAAATATGAGATTTTTTTAATTACATGTTTGAAAATGTTAGCACCGACCCAGGTCCCAGGTATTATGAAGATGTTGGAAGATGATTCATGCTGCTATAAAGGAAGGTCACAAAGAAAATCAAAGGGAGAGAGATTGAAGAAGAGGAGAGAGTGACATATGGCAAGGCGAAGGAGAGTGAGTAATGAGTGGAATTGAATTGAGATAACAGAGAGTTGGTGAGAATGCACAGTAATGTTGGGAAAGCAGTAAATAGGGATAGCAATTTGTTGTCCTTCTTTGGGGAATACTAATTAATCTCTCAACTCTTCCATTGACTTGGTTTGTTTCCTTTGAAAACAAAAAAGAGCAAGCTTGTTTTTTTAATTACAAATTTCACTTCAAGTAAAAAGAAAGGAACTTACGTGAATGCAAAGTTGTTGTCTGTAATGTTGAGTTCTCATTCTCGTGATAACATTTCTAGTACCTCTAACTTCAAATTCCGAAAGACTTTAAGGATTAACAGGTCACGCTGTGTTCTAAATATATATGAGCCTGGATATGAGTTTATTTTAATCCTAAATATAAATATAAGATCTTAATCCAATTTGTTTTTCAAATTTATAATTTTTTTCCTTCAAAAGTATCCCTATTGATTGCATATAGTAAGAGAATTCTCACTAAGGAGTAAAAACAACGTATATGATTAGAAAAAGATATTCTAGAGAAGCCAATACATATTTGTTACAAATGATTAACTCAACTAATTTATTTAGATACTGTTTGGTATGAGGGAAATAGAAGGAAAAGAAAAATTTTAATGAGGTCTATTTAAAAAATTAGAAAAGTGGGGTTTGAAATTTTAATAAAAAGAATAAGTAATATAAAGAAGTAATAAAAATTAATTAAAAGCTTTTAACCTTATTTTTAAAATTTTTTAAATCGAGTTCATTAAAATTTTTTCTCATACCAAACGGATTTTTAATATTAATAAATTAGTTATCTAACTTTTTATAATAAGAATAAGAAGAGTACTAAATAATAGTTGTGATTCGTGAATATGTACCTATCATTCACGAGTAGGCGCATGCACTTGTCATGTCCGAAGACAAAAGTTTCTATCCTTATTTTGAAATTTGGTTATTATTCTTATACAATGTTGTGTTATACTGCTAATAAGCATTAGTGATTAAATAGTTAAAAACACTTTTTGAGGAATCAAATCCCACCCCAATAACCCTTTTTTTTAAAATAATTTTCCGATCGCCGGTTTCAGAGCTCCGGCCGGCCTCCAGCAAGGGCAATGACATTGGAAGAGGAGTCTTTCCCCTCAAAAAAGGTGAAGGGGTATTTATGTAAATGTGCTCAATTTTTAATTACATTTAAATCTCTTGACATTTACGGGGATTAGCTTAGACAATTTTGTGACTATTTTTTTGTTAATGACCTATTTCAACAGTACTTATATGTCATTCTCCCTAGACTTCATTGGGAAAAAAAGAAGTCATATAGACATATACTGTTCAGATTACTAATTAAAATAGAGTCACCATGACATGTAAAAAGAGGGTAGGCTCGATATCTTAAAAATACTTTAATAAATTAAGATATTTTTTGTGATATATAATAAATGTTACATTGTGATTTGAAATAGGCCCTATATTTATAGGACATATTAAATTGAGACTTAAAGGGAGTAATTGATAGAGTTTCTAAGAAAAGATGTAAATAATAAAGTGTATAAGTATTGTGCTTATAATGTTATTATATAACTTTTTGAGAAAAAAAAAAGGTTACAACTTTTATTTTTTGAGGTCTTTGTATAGAGGTGATCTAGACTCCGGAGCGGAGAACTATCCCATATTTCTGTTACAATATTTTTGTGTTAATCAATTATATTAACAGAGTATTAATTGTATCATTTCTATTTCTATATACGATGAATAACTTTCTAATTAAATGTGAAGAAAGCATTGTTGAAAAAGGAAAATGTCAGGATACAGAATTAAATGACATGTGAGGATCAATCAACTACAATTTTTCACTTTGTCTGAATCTATAAAATGGAAAAGAATTAAATTATTACTACGTTGTTGGTGACACGATTAATTGTGTAATTTATAGGTATTCAAGGAATATGATTGCGTCAAACAATAGATAGATATGGAAGAAAAAGGAGTAAGGGGAAAAAAGTTGGTTGAACAATTTAATGAAATATAGAAAGGCAGCAATTAATTGGATTTTGGAATAAACAACACTTCCTCCATTTCTTTTTATAAAACAACTATTAAAAAAGTTTTTTTGGGTAACTAATATTAAAAATGTTTTACATATAAAATATTTTGCAAAATCTAGATGGTACTCCCTTCGGTAGTTAGGTGCCACCGTTTGATTATTTACCAGCTCTGTTTATTTCTTTGGGAAGATGACTCAGTGATTCGGAAAACGGAAAGTATTAGATTTCTCGCTGGAATTTCGACCGTAAATGTTTTTATACACATTTAGAATTGTGTTATATTTTTTTGGCCAAATAGAATTGTGTCATATTAAAATTATAATTTTGATGAATAATATATCTCATGATTAATACATCTTATGTTATAAATTTTATTTGTTAAAAACATATTAATATAACAATTTAGATTGCATAATTCGGTTATTTTAATACTATCAGTTCCTAATATAAGAGTTAGATTTAGATAACTAATTTGTAAATATTAAGAAAATTAGTTAAGGTAATTATTTGTAATAAATGAATATTGTCTTTTTTAAAATATCTTTATTAATCATATGTATTAGAATAAAAACCCTTTTAACATGCACTGCCTCCGTTCCATATATAATATAAAAAATTAGTTAAGTTTTCTCACAAACTAAGGAATTGTAGTTAAATTATTAAATTTGTTTCAAATTGATAGAAGTTACTTATTTTATTTTTATTAAAGAATGTGACAGAGAAATTCTCTCTTACCTCTCATCCTTATAACAAGGGTCAAGGATGGAAAACTATCATTCATTACCATGTCAAAACATCTTATATTTTGGACCAAAATTTTTTCTAACCAATTTCTCATGGATTGGAGGGATTACAATTATTATGGGAACTATTTTGAAAATGAAAAAAAATAAATAAATATTAAAAAAAGTGGATTGAAATATTATATTTAGAATCAAATTGAATCATTAACTAGCTTTTATATTTAGAAAGCAGATGAAGTGGATACATATACATATACATATATGCATATAATAATGCCAACTCTTAATATATATGTGCCGACAAATAATAAACAGCTTCAAACTACTAGTTGGAGGGTTATTTATATGAATGTATAAGTTTAAGAGATTTATTGTGAAATTTTAAAAATTGAAAATATTATCTGTGCATAATATATGTAATATAAAATCAAGGGCCGGGGAGTTATATATAATTTTAAAAAATATTATAAAAAAAAAAAGAAGTCTCTTACACGCTTCCATTCTTTATATCACGTTCCCTTTGAAGTCTTGGACAAATTTTACAATAAAAATTTATTGAGATTGTGAGATAAGTATGCACTTGTAGTTGTAATTAATTAATAATTAGAGTAATGATGTCTGTTCAAACAAAATTAATGACCCATTGGTTCTTCATAATCTTCTCGCATTATCAACACAGTTAATCCAACCTTCATGAGAGCTGGAAGAGTGAGACCACCGGATTTCTTGGGATTTTGCGGCAGATGAAAATCTTTTATTTTTCTTGGGATTTTGAAAATTTTTTAACTGGATCTTTTGCCATAAGTATTTTTTTTGGTAAAAGTTTGATAATCAAATTACGCAGTTTTGAAAAATGGTTAAAATTAATTAAAAATAATAAATAAGTAAAAAATAGAATAGCAAGGACTGGTGAAAGAAAGTATAAAAGAGAATGTAGTATTTCAAGTTGCAATATTTTGATTAATACAATGTATCAAAATAATTTTTGGCCTAAAATGTATAAAAGTAATTAAGGACAAAAATGAAAAAAATATATCAAATGATCAGACAACTCCAATTAAGATCGTATAAAAAGGATAAAGACAATTCAAATTTCAAATGCTTATAAAAAGACTGGAGGAGGGAGTATATATAAATATGTAATAATAAACTTTTGCTTATTTATCTCATTTTTATAATCAAATTGATTTTCTCCTTTGTCTGTAACTTTTTATTAGGGCCAATTTACACATGAATTTTGTTTTGCTCGTTTTATTTTATTTTTGCATATTTTCTTCTTAAAATCATTCAGCCATAATGTTTGTTAATTAATTAGCCGACCTGATCCATTAACAAACACAAAGCTACTCTCTTTAATTAAATCTCTTAATTGACTAAGAAAGATCTGCATAACTTTTGTAAGCAAACCTTTTTTTTTTTTCCAAATTAATGAACTTAAAGTTTAATTATTAAGGTAAACATGCGTCACAATTAATAAATCAAAATACTACTACATTACCGCTATGTTAGACATCATTAGTCAATTAATTAATTAAAGTAGAATACTATTACAATAGGGCCGTCAGAATCTGCATGCACCGTCTTTTTTTCTGGGGAACATTTGAGGAACATTATGATAATATTACTTTTGATTCTCTTGGAACGTGAACCTGCCAGCTATTTGCCAAGACAGTAATTCATGCGAGGCAACGAACTTGTTAAATTTTTATTATAAGACACCCCTAATAATCTTGTTAGAATAATAAATAACTAATAAATTATTAAGTTTAGTTAATAAAAAAATTTCAAATTTATCTATACCTCTTCAATGTATATATATAATAGAATTTTTTTTAAAGGAAAGCATGTTCCTATTTATAAGAAAGCCTAATAAAATGTCTGAAATTTTTAAGATCATTTTTATTTCTCCCAATTAATTATTGATTAGTCTCGTTTTTTCGGCCGGGATACTGATTAGTCTCGTTGCATTAATTATTCACACTTCTATTCATTCAATTACTCTTTATAAATGCTCTTCATAAATAAGACTTCTTTTTAAAAAAATAAGTTGTATTTTTTAACATATTTATTACTTTAATTAACTTCATCAAATTTTTATCTACATAATTTGATTATTTGTATCTTATAAAAAAGACTAGAGTGAGTATTTTTTTATGGATGAGCGGATTGTATCACATGAATCACGTCCAAAAAGCTATAGAATGTGCATTGATGAAATTTTAAATAGAGTTAATCTTGAAAAAATTGTAATGAATACGCAATTTGTGGCTTATAATAAACATATTTATGTCTTCTAAAATGTGTTTTATAATAAGGATAGAAGGAAGAAATATTTATAAAAATAATTTCGAAATATTTAAATATATTAATTAATTTTAGATCCAAAATTTACTATATATTTATTATTTGCATTTAGAAATATATTAATAAATTTTTATATCAATAAATTTCTGAGAAATTATTGCCAAAATATTCGAAGCTGCTAGCTATTGTCTTCTGAATTAAATACAAAGAACTAGTTCCTCTACAATTTGATCGTCAAGTTTATTATTTTAAAAATAACAATTTTAGATTTATGTATTTCAATCCCTACATTCTTATTTTTTTCCTAAGGCCCTGTTTGTCTTCTGTTTCTTTCTTGCATTCCACATATATACACAATGGGGCCTAAGATATTCCTTATAGACAACTCCACCGTCTCATTCGAATTTTATATTACTTAATCATTAGGACGGTTTGTGACTTCAAGAAACGGTTGACCTTGTGATAAGAATCAACTTGGTTTGACAATTTGTTCTTCTTCTTCTTACACAATAATTAAATAAACCAATTGATTTTCCCTATAAATATGTGAAGCCGCACATATATCCCTCAAGACAATCAAAAGGAAATAAATGAGTTCAACATTTTCGAAATCCTTGATACTCACAAGTTCACCACCCACTTCTATAGATTTTATATATTCTGATCTCATGTGGGGCTTCTTCTTCCTCCTCTTAATTGCATTTGCTTCTTTCGGTTTCTTGATGCGCAAGCAAAGCCATGCCAGAAAGAAACAGACGCTGCCACCAGGTGAAATGGGGCTCCCATGGATCGGAGAAACCATGGAGTTTTTCAATGCACAGAAAAGAAACAAGTTGTTCGAGGACTTCGTGCAGCCTCGGATTCTGAAACATGGAAAGATCTTCAAAACAAGGCTCATGGGATCACCAACTGTGATAGTGAATGGATCAGAAGCCAACAAGTTCTTCCTGTCGAATGAGTTCAAGCTTGTGAAAAGCTCTTGGCCTTCGTCTTCGGTTCAGCTCATGGGGAAGGACTCAATCATGGAGAAAGACGGCGAAAGGCACCGATTCCTTCGTGGGGTTATAGTCTCAAGCTTTGCCCATTCTGGTCTTGAAACGCTGGTTTCAAAGATCTGCAGCTCAGTTCAGCTTCATATTTCCAGAAACTGGCATGGCCGAGAAACGGTTCACCTGTACAGATCAGCCAAAGTTCTTACTTTCAACGTAGTGTTCGAGTGTTTAATGGGGATGAGGGTGGATTCAGAGATGCTGAACGCGTTCGATAGGGTTTTAGGGGGAGTGTTCTCACCAGCAGTTAAAGTTCCTGGTTCTAGGTTTTGGAGAGCGAAGAAGGCGAGGGAGGAGATCGAGAAGATGATGGGCAATGTGGTGAGGGAGAAGAAGAAGGAGATAATAGAAGGAAGGTTGAAGAAAGAGGAAGAAGGGATGCTTCTGAGTAAACTTGTGTGTGGGATCATTAAAGGAGAGATCACTGAACAAGAAGCTGTGGACAACGTGGTTCTGCTAGTTTTTGCAGCTCACGATACAACTTCTTTCGCCGTTGCTATGACCTTCAAGATGCTTGCCCACCATCCTGACTGCTACACCAAGCTCCTTCAAGGTATTTTAATTACATTGTTTAGTTACGTGATATATATATCTTGATTTTCAATGAATGTATCAAATATATTTAGATCAGATATGTATATATATCTTAATTTGCAGAACATGAAGATATAAGGAAGAAGAAAACGAGGGGTGAGAAGTTGACAGTGGAAGACGTAAAGCAGATGAAATATTCATGGCAAGTTGCGAGAGAAAGCATGAGATTGCACCCTCCTATCTTCGGCTCCTTCAGGAAGACAATTGCTGACATTGATTATGAAGGCTTCACAATACCCAAAGGATGGAAGGTCAACAACTTCTTTATTTACTTCTCTCTTATGTGTGTGTGTGTGTGTGTGTGTGTGTATTGCACAAAATCTCATATATGATACTCCCTCCACTGATATATATATATATATATATATAATATAAATAACCAAATTATATAAATAAAAAATTAGTTAAAAATAATAAATATAGGTCATTTTTTCTCAAATGAGTGGCGGAAAAAATGAAAGAGACATAAAATTAATTAGAGGTAAAAATGGAATTGTAATTCACAATATTGAAATTCATTATCATTATAATAATAATAATAAATATTCCATTGGAAATGAAATAGAAAAATGAAATTTATAAATCCATTAAAATAGTATAAAAAATATTAAACTTTAGACAAACACAAAGTATTGCTTCTACTTACCTCATATGTCGTAAACTTACTTTTAGAAAGCTAATCCAAACACTTATTTAATCACATTTCTTAATTCTTATGATTGAAAAGTTAAAAGCGTCTTGTACTTCATCCGATCCTTATTATGAGTTTCAAATAACTAATTTACGGATGACAAAATATTAGTTAAAATTATTTAAAAACAATAAGTTAAAAATATTGCTTTATTTCCAAATATGCCTTTATAATAAATAAGAGAAAGGATGAAAGAGAATGTGTGGGAAAATGTAATAAGAAAGATAAAGGAGAAACAATAAATAATTAAGGACAAAATCAGAAAAATGCATTAAATGTTAAGACAAATCTCAAATTTTTTTTTTTTTTTTTTGACCGGAAGACAAATCTCAAATTGAAGCTTATAAAATGGACCACACTCCATTATAAATTTGAAGCTTATAAACAAGACTGGAGGAAGCGTATGACAAGACTGAAGAGAGCATATTATATATCGATAGATTAATTGCATTTGTAGCTAAGTGGTATGGTTATTAATATTGAATAGTGATTTTGCGAATTACAGGTGCTATGGACAGCATATGGGACACACTACAATGAAGAGTATTTTAAGGATGCAACAAGGTTCAAGCCAAGTAGGTTTGAGGAGGATGAGGCAACCAAAATACCACCGTATGCATTTGTTCCATTTGGAGGAGGACCAAGACTTTGTGCTGGTTACCAGCTGGCTAAGCTCAATATTCTGATCTTTCTCCATTATGTAGTCACTCAATTTGATTGGTCCTTACTTCATCCTCATGAGCCTATCACTTTAGATCCCTTGCCCTTCCCTTCTCTTGGATTGCCCATCAAAATCTCTCCCAGGATCTCCCTCACTACTCCTTCACAACTTTGAATTATACGTATTTCTTAGATTTACGAAACTGTTCAGATCAAATTTTAGTCGTTAACTTTATAGGTCGGTCTAGACTATTTATTTATGACAAGTGGCAAGAATAAGATGAGTGTGATGTGTCCATTGTAGTTGGTTCGAATTGATCTATATTTGTAGTCCACATTAAAAACAGAGACATGAGGATTTAGTCAACATTATTTTTTTGGTAAAGTCGATGATAAATAAATGTGCAAGTCTAGGAATGTTTATTGGATCATGTTTTTTTCCTCTTGCGTGGAAATGATAATTTAGTTTAGATATATAAGACCAAGTTTGGCTAGAGATTTTAATATTAAGAGAAATTAATTCTGGCAAAACGAACCTCCTTAAATACAAAGACAAGTAGACATATATTATCGTTGAAAAACTAAGTCAATTATCTTCCCTTACTGGGTAACGTAACACTATAAATAACATAACGTAATGACGGCTCAACTGTTGGCCGACGTAAAGGATTGTTCTCATATTTTTTGTTGCTTATAAAGATTATATTTAAATCTTTGTTTCCTTAATTTTCGTAAGTAGGGAATAACTGAGTTATGTTAGTAAGATCCAATTTTAATATGTTATTTTAATTTATAACAAGTTATACCATTCATAAATCACAGATTATTCATTTAGCATAATATGTGACCCGGCCAAAATATCAGGGCTTCATCACCATTTCAAGCTGTTTCCATTTACATAACAGAAAAAAAATGTATCGTTTAGAGTGAAAAGGAGAGCAAGCCACGGAAACAGCTAACGTGCGTAATTAATGAGCTCACATGATAGATAATGAATACTGGTATTAAAATAAAACCAAATCTTGAAGACAAGAGTAAAACATGCTTAAGATTTATATACTACCTCTGGCCCTAATTATAAGATCTCATTTATAGACTAAAAATGAATTCTTATAATTAGGACTAGAGGTAGTATAATTCATAATATTAATACCTAAAATGTTAAGAGTCAAATACTATAAAAAATTATTGATACTAATACTAATACTGATATCTTTTTTTTTCCTTATTATTAGTGCCTATTTTTCTAATAAGAAAAGAGTACTGTTTTTATTCTAAGGTAATAATTAAAACAGAACACACTTATCACATTTGAAGTAAAATTATAACTTTAACAGATATAGTAAACGTTGGTTTAAATATTACAACAGTACTCTTATCTTTGGCCAACAAAGAAACTCCTATCAATTTCTTTTTATTAAGTATCAATTGCCTGCCATAAGAGGTATAGATTATGCGAGCTAATTTCAGGCAACAATATCATGTGAAATAAGGATTGGAACCGCTTACTTTACTGCTCTCATTTAACTCTCAATTAAAGGACATTAACTATTAGATTGCCCTCTAACAGTGTTGAGATAAAGACCTTTAATTATTTTTTTTAAAAAATGAATTTGTAATTCTCTTCAAAGTTATCAAACTCAGCGAGTTTAAACACGCTTGTGATAGACGTGTAAACTTGGATTATAAACTTGAATCTTGAATTTGCAAGAGTTTACTTTTATTAATAAATTAGTATTAAAAGTATATAATTAAATAATTAAAATATAAAAATGACAATAATTTCATTTAAATATATTTTAAATCCAAATAATTGAAATTAAATTTATTAATGTTCATAATATGCCATACTTAACAAAATTTTTTTTGCCAAATTCATATATAAAGTCATTAAATATAACCAAATTAAAAATTTTAGTATGAGTTTAAGAGTAAGTTAACACGATTTTACAAGCTGAAAACAACAAAAACGGTGAACTCGGTGACTAAACCTATCATTAAATGTTAAGCTTGGAGATTCAACTCTTGAGTTTAATAGCAATGATCCCTCCTCAACACTATTAGATCATGATATGACCGTTAATATCTATCAATTAATTGTTTCACTTGCGAAAGCCTCAATTCGGGGATCCAAATTCGTGAAATCAAATAACATTTATACGGTTTAAAAAGATTCCTCCACATGATCTGACACATGCTACGTGGGGTTAACTCAAGTGGTCAGAGTGAGGTGAGGTGTGATATAAATATACAATGGTCAAAAGTTCAAACCTCTGAATATTTTTATAAAAAAATTATCTCATACGTCTTAAAGTAGCACCAAATATGTTTATAAAATAGCCAATAAAAATTAATCTAATCGATAAAAGTATGATTAATATAGCTTAGAAGAGTATATCTGGCACACAAAAAGCTCAAAAAGGAGTACAAGTTTAAATTTCATCCGAATATCAGAATGTCACTGATAGCTAGGTATCCTGCAATTACTGCTCCGAACATCATTTGAGTTTTGAATTTGCGTTTATACAAGGCACCTGAATTTTCATCCTGTTAGAAAAAAGAAAAAGACAATATCCTTTCAATATGGAGAGGTTAAGTTTCTGGTCCAGTCTTGCGTGTTCTAAGTCCCACATCTTCGCATATTTTTAGGATTCCTATTATTAGAATAAAACAATCCCAAATTCAGCTATTTGACTATTGTTCAACCTCAAATTCCAAAAACACATCCGTATCCATTGACCTGACTTCCTAAACCATTATTCTTCTCATCATCCATGGATCAAAACTGATTCTCCTTTTCGTCCTTCTGTCTCCAATTAATTTTCCCAGAAAAGTAAAAGTCTAAGGCCTGGATGATATTCAGTTTGTGACAGCAAATATTATCATCATCATAATGATCCCAATCAATCACCCTAAGCCATGTGGCCGTTGTCTTCACAACAGCTTCTGATAACAAAATTACATCCCCATGGATCTATAACATTCACATCATTAATCTCACCCAACAAGAACGTTGTTGTTGTTATGTTCCTGCGAAGCAATCTGAAACCTTCCTTTCATCTAAAGGACAAGAGATTTATCTTCATCCATGTCTTGTAGTTCCAATCTTGTTTTGTTTGTGTGTTTCTAGCGTTTGTTGGTACGAGTATTGGCGTGGATGGGAATTTCATAGAATATTTTGACACTCTTTTCGGAGAGAACAGAGCCAGAATCGAAGATGAAGGCCAAAGCTTATTCCTAACGTTGGATCAATATTCTGGGTCTGGTGTCGTTTCCAAGAGTGAGTTTTTGTTCGGAAGATTTGATATGCAAATCAAACTCGTCCCAGGAAACTCAGCAGGAACCGTCACTGCTTTTTATGTACGTATAATTATAATGATAAGATGTTTTACTTCGTACCATGAAGGTGTTTATATATGTATGTATATGTATGTGCCCACATGTTTTATGGATTGGGATTGGTTTTGGAGGTTAATTTATTTTGGTGTGATTAATGTTGTGTGCATGTGTAATGTACGAAGTTAAGCTCGGAGGGGCCACACCACGACGAGATAGACATAGAGTTCCTAGGAAACTTGTCGGGAGATCCTTATCTGATGTCCACTAATATTTTTGCATATGGCGAAGGTGGTCGAGAAATGCAATTCTACCTTTGGTTTGATCCCACTGAGGACTTCCACACTTACTCTATTGATTGGAACTCTCAACGTATCATGTAAGTTACATTATTACTGCTCCCATATCCATCACAATAGGTTCAAACATTGCATAGAGTTTTATGTCATACGTAAATAACATTCTTAATCTTTGAAATTTACAATAAACTTTTCTGAACATTTACATATATTTATGCAAATAACTTCATATTGTTTAATTATTTGCAAATGAGTTGAAATTTAAGGGGTATTGCGTATAATTCATAGTTTGCGTGGATTGTATATGCATACAAAAATAAAGTTTAAGAAGTGTAAAATTGATTAGTTTGAGATTAATGATCAAGTTGTAAAGGATAAAGAAGTTATTTGTACATGGTTTTAAATTTAGGGAAGTTTTATGTTTTAGCCATATTATTAATGACTTGTTAATAATAGGAGTCAATTCTCTAATCATTTTGTATTAATAACCACCCAATTAATGAAAGCCTTGCTCTTTACATGTGTGGTTATTAAGATTATTTGCAAAAAATTATAAATTTGAGAAATCATAAAGATTGAGATTTTATATTTAGAACCAAAACAAACACCATGATCAATTCTTATATCTAAAACTGGAGGAAGTATACCAATCATTCTTTCTTCCTTCCATTCTAAGTATCGAATTCGGGTGTGTCTGGATTTTCATGTGCAAGTGTATAATTTTTGAATTGAATTTGAATGCAGAATACTAGTGGATAATACTCCCATAAGAGTGATGCGAAACAGGCATGAGATTGGAGTGCATTTCCCTACAAGGCAACCCATGAGGGTTTTCGCAACTCTTTGGAATGGAGACTCGTGGGCTACAAGGTGGGGGCAGGTGAAGATCGACATGTCCAATGCTCCGTTCATTGCGTCGTTCCGAAACTTCACCGCCCGGGCCTGCACGGTGAGCCCGGAGCCGTCATGCCGGGGATTCAGTGTAGCCAAACAGACCAAAGACATAGATCCAGAGAACAAGATGAAGATGCAACAAGTGCAGCAAAAATGGGTGGTTTATGATTATTGCCATGACTTTAGACGTTATGCTCATGGGCTTCCCTGGGAATGCCGCAAAGCCAATCTAATACCTCAATAAACACATACCTTATTGCAAACTATTCATCCGATCTTAAATATAAAACCCACCTTATATTATAATGTACATTAAAAATTAGATTTTATATTTAGGACCAGAGGAGTATTTGTTAATTGTTACTCAAGAAGTGTATATTTAGTTGTTTAATTTTACATAAAAAATTTCTTATTTTAATTCTTTTATTTTATACGTATTTTTAGTTATTTTAATCTTAATAATGTTAATAAAAAAAACGGACATCAAAATTTAAAATATATATTGAGAAAAAAAATCTCAAATACAGATATGTTAAATTTAATTTTTAAAATAATAATGAATGTACCAAAAGATTATTATTTAAAATTAACTGTGCTAAAGTTCAATGACTATAAAAGTATTCTTTTTTTTAATATTAAAGAATCA